AATTTCATTGCCACTAATTTACTAGCTGACTTGAATTCGTTTTTGTTATACAATAAAATGAAATTTTATATTGTTTTGAAGTATAAATTCAGTTGTTCAGTGTATGAGACTATACTGTACCGTTAGGATTAGAAGAGCATCTTGAGATGCAAGAGTAAACGAAAAAACACCATTTATTAATACTATGTATTGAAAGACATATAGATTGAAGCCTAAAAATAGTATTGACCACTGAATATTGTTCATTCATTCATTCCCCTATTCCAAGGCCAGAGTGAATACGAAAACATTTTCTCAAAATTCTAAATTAGTCTAAACTGATTTTTAATAAGTTTCGGATAAAAATTTCAGTTTGTCCTTGACAAATTTGAGATCGATATGCATTCTACTTTCGTCTGAAATATTTACATATGTAGGATAGACCAGAAGTCCTGAAGCTCTTTTCGATTAAATTTTTATCCATATTGACCAGCGTTTAAAAATTTAATATTTAGCTCAAAAGATAGAGACTTTAATTCTCTAGAAAACTGTGTATTTTGTGTTAAAATTATAGTAGAAATTTATTCACGATATCAAAATATTCTAATTTTCTAAAACGGCACAGAATAAATTTAATTTCTTTTGCGAAGCGCTGCTAATTTCTCAGTTCAATTTTTAGATGATTACTTTAATGTCAAAATATGCAGAATTTTACGTTGTACAATCTGACACTATTTGTGTTAAATGATTATTCTTTTTTGTGATAAAGAAAGCCCTAAATTGACTGACTAAAGTAGAAAATCCATATTATCGGTATTTTGCTGTCAAACTCAAAAATTAAAATCATGTACTTTATAAGTAGAAGATGTAAAATTACTCACTTTACAAGATCACATAGACTAGAAAATAAAATTTAATTTTAAAGTTTAATATAATATTAGATGCTCCTAAAGATGGATTCTCCTCAACTCCTATGAAACATTCATGAAAAACTCTTTCGAGAGTCACTTTGATTTAGAAAGATTCTACTTTGCCACTGAGACTTTGTACAGAATTTAATAATGTATTGTGTTTTGATTAATAAATCAGTTTTAGTCAGATATGCTAAGAAAAACTTCAATTAGATAGATGATCAGTTTTCATAACGTATCTCATTTTAGTATTTTTATTTCTACACTGACAATTCAAAATTAATTTCAAAACAAAATAGACAGTTTTCTAGAGAATTAAAGTCTCTATCTTTTGAGCTAAATATTAAATTTTTAAATGCTAGTCAATATGGATAAAAATTTAATAGAAAAGTGCTTCAAAACTTCTGACCCCATATAAAGTCGAAACAGATTTGGCTGCAGTTTTTATGCAGGCGAGTTGAAGAATAATCTTTTTTGCAAGTTACTTATAATCATACAGTCATGACTAATATAAAATATCTCTGCTCAGGTTTGCTCTGTTACCGAGATAGGAGACATTGTTTCCTAAAAGTTGACTCTTATTTATTACTCTGAAGGTTTGATTGGAAATTGATACTTAGGCAGCCGTAACTTTATACTTAAATTCTCTGGCAGCTGAAATTTTATAAAAACATCTTCCATGGATATCCTAAGCAAAACTGACCCAATCTTTTTTGGTTATTTATCTAGATTCAAGTCCACGTACATATGTATGTGGATTTGAATCTAGATAAATAACCCAGAAAATTGGGTCGTTTTTGATTGGGTATGGAGAGCGCGAGCAAATTTTAGACTTTTTTCATTTTTAATCATGTTGAACTTCCGATTTTTTTCATGATTTCAATCAATAGAGACGAAACTCTTACCAATAGATATGTAGAAACATGTCTCTATACTAGAACTCTTTATATTTATTTTACAAACAATATCTTATATCTCAGTAAAGGAGTGGACGTGAGCAGAGATATTTTATATTAGTCATGATCTTATGATTATAAATAACTTGCAAAAAAGATTTTTCTTCAACTCGTCTGCAAAAAAGAACTTCAGCCAAATCTATTTCGACTTCAATGCATCCTATAATCATAACATGTTTACACAATGTTACCATTATTTTCTCGTTCTTTCTTTCTCTTTCTCTTTCTCTCTCTTTCTTTCTTTCTTTCTTTCTCTCTCTAGCAATTCACAAGAACAGTCAAGAGCAACACTTCATTTATTTTTCTTAAAGTTGTGAATTTTCATTAAAACGACTATTCTTATTTATAACAAGTAAACGAGTATTAACTGTAGTTTTTATAACTGTACGTTGATCATCATTTACTAACGGTCCATTTTTTTTTAAAAATTCTTCACCATCCGTCTGTTGTTCTAAATTTTTTGTCGTACCGGTCGTACACTCATTTGTTCGTATACTTAATAATTTTTTACAACATGGTAATGAGAAAAACATGACTCTTAATTCTTGTCGAAAAACATCGGCGGTTAAAAAATAGAGTAAAAAATTAGCTGCTGTATTTGTATAATAAATTAATGAGAACATAATCCATAATGTGCCAAATTTTTCACTATGTGCATGAAATAAATGAGAAAATGCCATAAAAGTTGAAGCAGGTGCTGTCAATAGAATAAAAACACAAGAAACAGATAATAACATTATTGTCATATTACGCTGTTTTATTTTTTTTCGTTGATTTTTATTATTTATTCGTTGTTGAACACGTTTAGCCGACGCAATAACTTTTAAAATTAAAGAATTAAGAATTAACATAATAACAAATGGGCAAAGTGTAAAGAAAAACCATTGTAAATAACCTAGTATATTTGAACGAAACCATAGATAAGTGGGATATTGTAAACTAATATTACACACTGGTTTTATATAAGTAATATTTTGTTTATTTATTTTTGGTACACGTCTCAGTTCATAAAATATGCCCCAATGCATTTGAATACAAAATGAAATAGCAACAATTAGTGTTATAATTATGTAAGCATTTTTAACTGTACAATGACGTTTAGAATAATGATGTTTAGCAATGGCTAAATATCTTTGGACACTAACAGCCACGAGTAATGTTGGAGATAAATTAATAAAATAATAGGTAAAGAAAATATGTAATTTACATGCAATATTATTATATAAACGCATGTTATTTTGTTCACTAATACGAACGAGATAAAAATTTAATACACTGAAGAAAACATTACCTAAAATTAGAAAAACAACAACAACATATTAAATAAGATACGATAATTATAATTTAAATACTTTAAAAAAATCTATTATCAAATAGAAAATAGATTATAATATTTATATTTTTAAAAAATTCTAAAGAAAAAAAAAAATCAAGATAATATTTACCGAGATCGGATAGTGCTAATGCAATCAAATATATACTTGTTACTTGAACACGAAGTTTTTTACGTGAAAGTGTTAATGCACTTAATGTATTTCCTATACTTCCAATTGCTATTAATAATCCACCAATAATTCGTACAATCCATTTTAATATTAGTGAATTAGTATGATTATCCATTTTTATTATTGATATCATGGATGTTGAATGTAATAATGATGAATTCATCATCATCATAGTTGAACTATTTTTATTTATAAAATCGTAATTAAATGTTGAATCAAACATTGTTATATTTTCCAATAAATTTTCGAATAATACATCTTGTAATGACATGATAATAATGATAACAAGAAATAAAGAAAACAAATAATAATAACAAAATAAAATTATGATCATAGAGGAAACAGTTCACAGTTGATATTTTAAAATAAATTTTTTCATTTGAAAATAATCGATCATAAATCGACACCAAATATAAAGGATAAAACTAAAAATTGAAAATATAATTAAAAAATTAATTCAATATATTCTTTCTATAAAATCTCATTTA